CTAGATGTGTATAAGAGTAACCATGAATGGTGGTCGTGTAGATCATGTTGTGCGGGGTGGAGAACCCTCACTTCGCGAACGGGGGATGATCGCACCACGTTGTGCTAAAATGGTCAAGCACCTCGAGGCAGCTACGCAGTGCTTACAACTGTCTCTGGAAGTGAAGGCACCAGAAAATAAATTAAGTCATGCGCAGCTGTCATTCGTATGCAAGGAAGTAAGCACAAGATGCCGAACACCCTTAGCAGGATGCAGCGCACCCTTCATGCGACTCGCCGATTATCTCACGGCGCATCGCGCTTGGTGATGTGAGAGCCTGGTCCGGTGAGAACCCGGCGTGCTCCGTCCCGGCTTTGTAGGGATGCGAGGTCAATGGTCTAACGACTACGGCATGCACGACTATGAGTACACCCCCCCCCTACCTCTTTTGAATCTAGATTATTTTTTCGTTTTCACGGAACAGATCGTCCATGCTCCCGCCCTAAGGCCGCCTCCACTCTTACTACTGGTTTTCTCGCTCTCTGTCTCTGTCTCTGTCTCTGTCCCTCTTCTCTCTCTCGCAATTGAACAAAAGCGGCTAGCGCAGCAGACCGGTTCTTTCACTCACAAGGTTCCTCCGGCCAGGATGAGGCCCTCTTCTACCATGACGCTTCTTGCCGCGGCCTCGGGAGCTTTCCTGGCAAGCATCCCGGCTGTCGATGGCGTTAAGGCTATCTTCGATTTGCGAACCGGGGAAGACTACGAGAGCGACAACAACTGCGGTAAGACGTGTGGTCCGGTGGGTTCTCGTCATATTGTTTGTGCCGTAGGCCGACGGGGTTGAACCTGACCTCGCGTGCCCTCCGTTGATGCTGTGCTTGGCAGCGTTCCTTTCGACATTCATCAAAGTCCTGGGAATTTGTGTCCCGAAAAAGATTGTTTTCTCTAATTTCCGTTCGAACCCCCGTAATATATACATCAGGAAGTTGCTCGTGCTGCTGCTACACCATCAACGTTCCCTCTCTCCTCACGGAACGCATCGTTTTCGTAGACATGACTGCTTTCGCAAACCTCCACCGGTAATTTTTGGACAACGGCAGAGCCACAGCCGATTGCGGCATATTTTCATGCTCCTTGCTGGGTACGGATATTTGGCAGTGCAGCAGCACGCGGATACATGCTCTCGATATCTTGTACTCCCCCTGATGCCCCCAACACGACGCGTGCCATGTCCCTTGCTACCCTTGTTTATCGGCATTGTAGTGGACTCCGAGGCTAGGAAAGTGCGCTATCTGCAGATCGAGGGGTTCGACTACAACTCGTCGCCCTGGATGCAAATGACGTGGAGGTATGTTCGCTTCAGTGGTGTTGCGTGAAATGCGACCAACTCTCTTGACAATATTCCACGACGTTGGTCANTCATGTACTCGGGACCGTTCCCTCCGCTGGAATGCAGCAACCTGCACCCCTCCGGCATCACGTACGAGGGGTGCTACAGCGCGGGGATATTCGGCACCGCCGACGGGCCCACAGGTATACTACTGTTTTCGTGCTTCGTGTTGTTCGTTATTTGAGGTTACGACTGCTGTTGTCGACGTCCATCCCGCCGAGAAAAAGTATCTCTAGTGGGTGCTGATTGGCCGAGATGTTTTTATCAGGGTGTTGTCGTGAGCTTCGTACTCCGGCACGAGATTATGAATCCCCCACCGTACCCTTTAAAAGCAACGCTTTCATCACTCGCGGAACCGAGTCATTGCCTAACTTCTGCACGCGAACAGGTAGCGCCAACGATGCCGACCCGGCCGAGAACTACCGTATGTTCGACGGCATCGATGACGACGGGGTGAACGCCGACAAGGTCATGACGCTGGAGGTGAGAATGCACGGATCCCAATGGAGCAAACGCCGAACCATTCTGTTGTATTTTTGCGATACGTATTTGTTTGCCGGATGATGGGTTGCTGCACGTTGAAGGGAGGAGACTACGCGGTTGGTGTTGCCTTCGAACTCATCCAGCTAGTTGGTTTCCACCCAACGCCGAGAGGTTTGCCGACATGCGTGCACACGTCCAACATTAGCCTCCCGTTCACATGCATCGGAAAATCAAATATGCGTCGCCGAAGCGGTGACCGACCGTAGCGTGATGCCCCCATCGCTTGAACAGTAACGGCTGCTGTCGTGTAGCAAGTGATCAAAACACGTCCTGAATACATCCAGCAAGTCGTCTGTCAATGCCGTGGTCTTGCCTTGTCACAGAAATGCGCGGCCACCTGCACAGCTCAAGGAACGCGGTACTTCGGTCTCGAGTCCGCGGTCAAGGTGAGAGGGCCCGAAACCAATGCTCGCATTGTAGGTCATCATCCGTACCTTGATAGAGCAGAGCTTGAAGGGATACGTACGTGCCAGGGCAGTTCTGGATTGCAGGCGGCTACGCATAGACGAACTTTGGAAACCCGTGGGTGTCTGTCGTGCAATTCGCACGGTAGCCAACATGTCGCCCCCCCCCCACGCCGCGGTCAAGTTGTTGGATATGAACGTTCCACCCGAGACTGACGAATCGCTCCACCCTTGCCTCCTCCCCCGTTCTCCAGTGCCTGTGCGGTGATGAGCTTGCGGGCAGCCCTACCGACGATGTCTACGGCGAAGGGGGCTCCGTGTGCGGCATCGACATCACGTTCGGCGGCGACGTCCCCGAGTACAAGTACCTGTGCTCCGGCGACTCCCGCGTGCTGTGCGGCACCGACGACCACATCTCGGTGTACTCCCTCGACGGCAGCACCGGTGGCGGCGACGACGACTCCGGCGACCCTCCCGTTGGCTCCGAGTTCATCGGATGCGTTGCTGACAGCCAAGACGATAGGGTGAGACAATGGATGAGGGGACGAAAACGTTGTGAGGTTTCGAGGTTGTTGGCTACATGTAGAAATGACAGTTATTTCCTGATGATGGCTTCAAGCGAGTGTAGTGTGATTGGGTGTCGCGTTAAGGGAAAAGAGGATCGCACGGCGGTGGTCGAATGCAATAAGACAACATGAAAGTGCATGCGAGAAGGAGTTTTGCGAAGCATGCGCTAAGCTGTGAGTTAGCCTCCTATTCATCAGAAACCCGGGTTGTTTGCTCCTGTAAGGCCAATCATCTGGAAGTTTTGGTGTGGGGGTCTTCCCTGAAAACCTGTTTTCGCGGTCTACTTCGTACGTTGTGAAGTGATCATGTTTGTATTCCAACTTCTTGAAACGCCGAAGCCAAGTGCCGGCGGCGCGTTCCGCAGCACGGCGATATCGGAACTATTGTGCGTCAAATCGCCACTGCTGTTTACATTTTTCCATTCGGTCCTTGCACGCTATCGTTACTCGAATCGCAGGTGATGTCTGTGGGACCGATCGCGGAGGACACCATGTCCGCGGAGGTACGAGCCTGTCGGTCGAAATGTTGTCGAGCGTGCGTTGCTGTTCGTGCTGGGCCTCAGATGAAGAAGGACCTAAAACGCAACAGTCGTCTGTCCGGCTAGGAACCCGCACACAAGCCGGGTTGTCGGTCTTTAGCCTTGTGAATGAGATCAGTGTTGTTGTACGTACTGCGTTCTCCAAAGTAGACAGTGTCGGAGACCCGACACTCATGCAGCTTGTCCTTTGGGAACGTGTCCTCTCCTACTACG